AAGTGAAATAAGCTTCCCTTTATTTTCTTTGTGGTTGTTTCAGTCTTTTCCACTAAAAGTTGGATGCCTTGTGACTTTTTGGTGGTGTCTTTCCCTGATGGGAGTAGCATTAGAAATTGAAAAATATTAAAAAGCCTTTCCCCCGTTTTTCACACAAGCTTAGTAAAAGCCAGACTTTTGCAAATCCTTTGCACTTGCACTTTCACTCAGTGCAAATGCAAATCCTGCAGAGTCAATCGATATGTGGGACATCAGGGACAAAGTCCCACATAATAAGAGACATCTTGTGACTCAATTTGTATCCTTAAAAAAGACATTATGGTACAGTGATCAGAAGAAATGGTTATAGAAATGTAAAGGTGGGTGTCCAGGGGACCTGTCTATTCTTTAATGCAAATGTGTAAAACTGGAAAACAGTGCTTGAAAAGCAACTCTAACCTGCCTATTATCAGGACTTTTGTCATCTGCAGGCATGTTATTTAGCACAGGTAGTCAAGGCCTCAGTCAAACCACAGGAAATATGGGAGGGGGAGAGAAATTTGTAACCATGTTTCCTCCATTCTAACAAAAAGCCAACACGTCCCCTGCTGAAATCAGGCCATGTTTAACTCAACCACAAACATAGTGTAGATCACATTTTAGTTAGCACTGACAAATAGTTGCCATTTATCTAGAGTAAGTTAGTGGCCCTCTAAACGTCACCAGAAGTTGATACACATTAAACGAACAAACATCACTGAACAAACACTGCAATTTTGGTGCATACCTGTAGACTGTATTCACATACAATACAGCTATCACCACAGTAAGTATATGTATTTTATATCATTGGCACTTTCATTTGCAGTTCTGTGTGTTCTTGTCAGTCTGTCGCGAACAAAATTTAAGCACACTGTCTATGTTTTTTTGTTTATTTTCTGTTACATTGTAAAGTCTTCTACCTCCAGGGGTGTAGGCACGTCGTGTTGTAGTCAGCATTCCCTGAAAGGAACATAAGAGTGACTGTGAATGTAGGAATTTAAAGTGAGATTGTTATTATATTAGAAAATGAATCAGTTTGGCTGCAGTGAATATCAATCTAATGCTTTAAAATCCTTTGAGGTTACTTACGTGGGCAGTGCGGGCAGGAACATTTTGAACATTCCCGTGAATTAGATCCTGAATTGTAGTATCCCTCCATGCAGCCACACACTGTGTTCCTGTTAAAGGTGCAGGGCTCTATTACCACCTCATCATCTGGGGGAAAAGCAAAATGCAGTGTTTTCATCTCAGTCCAAATAACTGAAAAAGCAGTTCCGATAAGGCCGTGGGACCACATGTTGTTTTCTACTGTCACATTCTTTTCATCAATTAGCACATGAAATGATTTTTCCAAGTTCTGCTTCAATATTTTATGTGAAACTCAGTTGAAATGTAAACAGAAAGAATCAATATGTTAACGGCGCGCTCAAACTGGTACGCACACAAATTCACGTGTTGTTGTTACAGTCCAAGTCTCCATGTAAAGTGAATACTCAAACTGGCACTGATGTTATTAGTGAAATACAGTTACTATTATATTAGGATTTCCCACACTAAATATTTTTTTGATTCCACTGCATCAAACTGGTTTAACAGAAATATTAGATCATTATAATTTGCTCATCATTAAAAGAAATCTTAGATGCAGCGAAGAATAGCATTGTCTTTTATATGACCAAATAAACAGAAAATACCAGTCTACTGTTTTATTTTAGTCCACATTTCTCGCTGTGGTTTTCCAGTGAAGGTGCCATCCTCACATGTTTTATATATTGAAATAACCAGAAAATATCCATGTGCTTTATTCTAGTCCAATTTGTACTTGAACACTCCTTAAACTTTATCACATGAGCTGACAGTATGTGTAGCAGCAAACTGAAAATGAGCAGGATACTTACGATTACATGAGTGACACCGAAGACATCTCTCTACATGGTTTTCTACCTCCGTGAATGTGCCATGCTCACATTTCTTGCATTTGTACTTTTTAACTTGATCATCACAATTACCAACTTTATGATATCCTGGGAAAGACAGAGAGAAGGAGAAAGGTAACGAGTTAATGTGATATTTCTACAACGACTTCACAAAGGACAATAATTGTCAATAATAATCCTATGTATATCTTACCAGCTGGGCATGAATTGTAGCACGAATCATTAGTTTGTTCGATCCCCTCAGTGTGACTCTGTCCACAGGAAGTCAGTGCAAGCATCAGTGGGAAGACCTGAAACAAAAAAAATGAGGTCTGAAGATCTGAGGTGTTAAATGAGGGTTAAGGTGCTCGTGTGTGAGCAGGACTGACATTTGATCACAGAAGCTGAAACAAAATGACAGAAAGAGTAAAAGTAATTGACTCTCATCAAGTCACTGGAGAGGAAAAACTTTTTAATTTGCATATATCATCAAAGAGGAACATGTTCATTGAAAATGTAAATGTTCCACTGCCATTAAAGGTTCAACACATTTTCTGAACTCTAGCATGCACATCGTGCAGCAGACAGTTGTTGTTCTACCAAAGCAGAATGACAGAAAAAAATATGCCAAGCAGATCAGTGGAGACTTGGTCCATTTTGAAGACAGAACGGAAAACATGTCAGAGTATTTGGACCATCCTCCACCCAGAGCTAATGAACTAAGACTCTTCTTGACCATCAGAGTTCTCACATACATGACACATATTGCAAACCTCAGTCCAAAAACATCCTCATTTCCGAAACTTCCCCGATACATACTGGTGAGATATGAACCTGATTGATTAATAACACTACTGTTAAATGTATAAGTAATGTTCGCACACGTCTGCAGTAGGTGAATATCCAAGCAGCTGCAGCTGTACTGCATGTTTTTTATATATATATATATAT